GTGGAATTTATTTTCACTAATTATTGACAAGTTGAATGTAAAATATAGAGAAAAAGATATATTCACTGGATTTTATTTTCACTGAATCATTCCTTCAGCGTAAATAGCGAAAATTAGTTCCAAGCGAAAATAAAGTATTTTACAGTACATAAAGTGGATCTAAACATTGCTAAAAATAGATTTAACGAATGGGATTGCAATGGTTGAAGTTAAAAATTAAAGTTGTCTGTCAGTGGACAGTAGGCAAATAGTAGTGCCTGTCCCAATTGATGATGATAAATTTTAAACGTATTATTCAAAATCGAATTTTCATTTCTGGCAGTGAACAGGCTTTAATTCAGCCACGGGGCATTGTCTGCAATGGTTACATTTGAATTCTGAGTTCTAATTCAAATGAGAAAACACTGAACACCTAGACTTTGCGATAGTCATTGTCTTACCCCACCATTATTAGTTTCGTTGAAAATCTTGGCATGTGCCTGGCACCGGAAACAAGTCAACATATGCCAAAAAAACATGACAGAAAGCCAGCACATGCTATCAATAAAGAGCCATTGCTTGAAACGTCTAGCTAAATAACAGAAAATGACGCAGATAGATGCAAACACTACTAATTCTTTAGGAAAAAAATATGGTCTGATTCAAAAGTCAGCACACTTCTCAGTACAGGATTTATGGAATGACATTCTGTTTCAAGTTAACAACGAACAAGAAACATGTTTGTCATACAGGATCAATTCAAACAGACTGAAGCCGATATTCAAAAAAGAGGAATATTCGTTTGCTAGCATGATGAATAGTATTAAATTTATACCATAACAGTAACGCCATCAGACATATGTGCAGAGTTTGCGTTTCAACAATTACATTGTAGGGCTTGATTTCAGCACGAGGCATGTGGGGACAGATAAAAACGTAATCATGAATGATTAAAGTGCGGTGGTCGTCGCGCAGCATCTGTTCGAATTTCATGTAAATAAACAATGTATTTTACACGTGTTGGGTACTTCGCTAGGAGTCCCAAATCAAACAGGACGCGGCACGACGACTGCCGCCCTTTAACAATATTCAGCATGTACTGGATAGTACTAACACCAGTATTATTATCTTCCTAGTTTCCAAAGTCGAATAATGTTTTGAAAAAAATATAAAGACAGCATATTTTATTATTCTTGTGCTCCAACTCCATGCACAGAATCGATCAGCTTGTTGGTCTGAAAAGGTATTTAATATGCAAATCACGTCCAGCCCAAAACTGTTTGTGACAGGAGTACATTTGATCACCAAGTCATTTAAACCTGTGACTGTTTGTTTCTTTTGTGGTTGTGGCCAAAAAAGGTATACAATATCCAGATTATATTCAAAATATTACAATTAGGGTACTTATGCACCATATGCTATGTACAGCATTGTAATATACTTGACTTTATTGCATCTTTGTCAATTCCTGCTACATTATAGTCCCAGGCATAGCTTTATTTTTTAAGCTGACTATCAGCTTACTTTGCTTTTTCATGAAAACTTATGATTATTAAAGCGAGTATCATTCTCGTAAATAATCTCTTATTGTTTGTAGTTTTTCCCTAGTTACTAATGTAAGGCACGTGACTATGCACGTCCATAAACACACTATCTTGTCGATTTCACATTCAGTGTGAAATAAGCTTTCCATCAATATATAGTTTTGTGTGGTTCAGTAAATATTTTATATGAAAATATCAGTTTAGAAAATCAATACCAAAAACATATACAGCTTCCTTAATGGGAGATTATTCTGCAAGGAGCTGTTCCAGGCAGGTGAATAAAGAGAGAAAATTGTCACTAATTTACCGAATGTGGTAGTTTCAAGTTGCAAATGTCCAAGATCAGAGATTCTAAGACTTGTGAAATGATGATGTGTCAAGACTTAAAATTTGAATAATATGTTTAACTTTATTTTGCTAGGGACAGATACATTTACAGCAATTAGGCCAGATTTTTTTTTATTTATTGTTTCTTGATTTTTTATAAAGGCAATTTTTTTTGAGGAGGGCGGAAAAAAGTAAAAAAAATTTTTTTTCATTAGAATTGTAAGTGAGATCATTGATCGGAGAAACGAAATGAAATAAAATTTTATTCCATGTATAACCTTGTTTCTCATCTGCGCGAGACTTCGGTACTTTGATCATGATACTCCCACAAAAATGCAACTTGGGTTTGTTATGCGGCGGGCAAAAAAAAAAATGAAGATAAAAATAAGTTTTTTTAGTAATTTTATGCACTTACAAGTGAGAAATTACGCTGAAATAAAATTTTATTTTTATTTCATTTTCGGCTCCTGCTCATTCTGCGGGTTCGCTAAAGAAGGGATAATAAAAGTCTGGCCTTAGGACAAGCACTTTTATGTGCTAACTTGTCCAAGGGACAGGCAACTTTAATTAATACATTTATGTAATTTTAACTCCTTGCAAGTTAAATGTTAAGTTACACTCGGACCATACTGTATATGATAATATGAAGATAAATTATTATTATTTTGAGAATAACTGCTTATTTTGGAGACAAGATGTCCCAATCTTCTGAAGGAAAGTGCAGACTGTAAACGGGACTATTTTGTGAATTTGTGATGAGTAAAGGGAACCGGTTTTGAAAAGGTAAATAGGACAAGTTTGAAATGAAGTAAATACATGACATAAATAGCAGCTTTACTTACTGGATTAAAATTAAAAAGGAAAACAAAAGGCAGAATAATAGTGTAAAACAACATAAACAATGGTTTCCCATAATTCCATAGTGTGATCTCCATGGTTAACAGCCTCCCATTAAACATACCACATATATTCATGCGTTATTAGAAGCACACAAATACCATCAATTCTTTTATTATCCTTTTTAAAATTAACTTTGACCATAGACACACGCTCCACTAATTGAGCAAATTCAGTACCTGATTTTACCTGATCTAATTGTGATGTGAGACCTTTATTTTTTTGTACATGTATAAAGCTATAGCCATTAGTTGACATGTTTGAGATTCATATGTACATGTAAGGTTTTATGCATGATAAGGTCAGAGATGGTCAGTTAGGCGGTATCGATTTGACAGTATGGAAATCAAGAAAAGCAGTCAAACGTAATCCACTAACCTTTACAACGGAATGCTCAACTTTTAATTTTAACTCCTTCATCGTCGTCAAAATTTTTAAAATTAAAAGTTAAAAATATCATTTTCTCACATTCTTCAATAATGTGATTTAGTAGCAAATTATCAAAGCGTGATTTTTTTTAGTTTGAATAGAGAACAGAAATGTAAAAAATCTATTTTATTATTTATGGAACATCAAAAGGTTAAGCATTTTTTTCTTTTCCATAAAAGTGAATTATTGCCATGCCTCTGTAATTTTCTGAAAGTTCATTTGTCTTCAGGCTAGTTATTTTCCAATACTACTTACGTGGATCAATGTTATTATACTTAAAGTAATTGTTATAGGGTAGGTCTTGTTGCCACGGTGAACAAATTCACACATTTATATTTAGGAAAAACCGAAATATTCTTAGTACTTTGATAATTTATGGACAATACTAAAACCAGTGAAAATGTGGAAAATGTAACCCTTTAAGGTAGAGATGCAGTTTACCTGACAGGTATTTTAATTAGTTAATTAGGAAACCAAGATGACCTCCCTTGTCCACAAAACTATATATTTTCGGAAAGCTTATTTGAATTTATATGAATTTTAAAAGTTTGTTATTATTTTTCTTTTATGGACTCTGTAGTTTGAAATATGCACAAAAATGTGCGTTTTTGGTCAATAGTGATTTAAAAAAAATAGCCCCTAAACCATGCCTCTGTTTCCTGTCAAAATTGGCTTATGGGTACATCTGTTTACTATGTCAATTTTGCGGGCAGCAGCCCAAAATTCACTACTTCAAGTGTATGCATAAATTAACACCCAGGCTAGTTGTCTGTGCGATTGTTGTACCACTGTTCAACCAAAAACAATGCCCCGACGGCGTTTTGAAGATAAACACATTGTCAATCATTTGTGAAAATTTCAAAACAAAAGGTCAAAGCATCTAGGAGCTATTTTTTTTAAAGTTCTGGGATGTGCACTGAAAAAAAGCTAAGATAATTGCTAATTTGCATAACAATTCACTCAGTAAGAAGTTTGCTAATGCTCATAATTGAATTGGCTGTAACAGTTCCAAATTTAAATGTAATATCATTTTGTTAAAAGTTAAATATAGTGCATAATATGGAGATCCTGTCATTTCTTTTTTTCACCATGTTTCTTTTTTATTATTTATGTACAGCCTTGCTAAATCTTTCTAAGCGTTCAAAGGAGAGAATGTTTGCACCTGTTATCTATATTTTAAAATCGTTTTATGAGTATGTTCCACTATTCACAATTCTACAAAATTTTAACAGTCTATAGCCAAGACGGTTTGGATAATAAAAAGCAAAAAAAAAAAATTTCACTCCCAAGTGCCCACGAACCTGTGTCAGATACATGTATTTTGTCGCCCAAAATTCAGACAAATGTTTTCACAAAATTTCAGCATTTTTTTGGACCAAGTTTCATCGTTCAACTACAGATGATGAGTATTGGAATAGTTGAGCAAAATTTCAGGAAATTCATGTCAAGTCGCATTTAATACTTTGGACACTACTATGTTTTTCACCGAACATTGTATGCAAAATGTTCCCAATTTTTATGTATTTTTCTTAAATTTTTTTTCCAATTTTGAATCAAATGAACATTATTTCCCATAGATTACAGATCTTGATCAAAAATCCTGAAAAAAATAAAATTGTACAGCATTATTTTGTGAAAGCTGACATAAGTTGATATTGGGACTCAAGGGGTTAATCCTTAAATGGTGTAGCCTCAAAATGGCAGACATGTTGTGCATATCTGGGTCAAATTCAAGCACTTTCAAGGCGAGTCTTTATCTGTTCATATTCATGTACATTAATCTATTATTTTGTGTTCATTTCTAGCCATAATCGTGAAAGCATCATGAATATTGTTCGTCGACTTGTTGGGCGTCACCAACAGGCAGATGAAAGCAACACACAAGACAATGCGTTGGGTTTGATGCATTTACGTAAACTATGTGTAGAATTATGTTATGCAGCGCAACCCACAACAGCCAAAGAACAAGAAGAGAAGGTTTATATGATGCTGCCATTGTTCTGCAAGGTAAGATCCTCCTTGAGTACGGTACATGCTAGTGTCGCTTTCACGCTTTAAATGCCACATATTTTTTTCGCCTAAAATTCAGTGCAAATTGTTCAAATTTTGTAAAATTGTTATGAAATTTTATCCTCATTTTGGACCATACAGACAGTTGCAGATACTGCTTTTAGTTTTTGATCAAAGAGTTTGTCAATTTTATCAACATTTGGAGAGGAGCAAACTGTACAAAATCATTTTGTAGTTGTAGCCAAAAGTTGACAATGGTGCTCTAAGGTTTAAAATGTACCTTAGCCAGGTATCCTCAGGGACGGAGCTACGTCACAAGACGATCCATGTTGCTAAGATGCGCACCACTGTACCACGTATTTCTACGTGCTCTCCCCATGCTGCTGAAGAACACGGAACGCCGAGTGAAGAGACGATGAAAATTTGAGAAAACAACAGGAACTCAACTTTGAAGTAATCCTGAACAATCTAATTTATAATGCGTTACACATGCAGGGGTAATTTTGTTACACTGTTCAGGAGAGTCTCAACAACCATCCCAAAGTACTGTTTTCTGAGAGTTTTCGGCCTTTGTTTTCACCGTGATGGTTGCCATGCAGTGAAAATGCTCGGATGTCCGCATCCGAGAATATCATTTGTCACAGTCAGTGTGCCCTCTAACAGGACTCATGTGAAAATCATTTCAATTTTGCTGCTACATTATGTATCCCTCAATTCGATAATTAGACGGTAGTCACACTATCTGACTGGTTGCACTCCGAGATTATTATATAAAACATTATATAGATCTTGAGACTGTAAAATGTTTGATGTCGATAAATTGGTGGTCTTGCCATTATTACGTGATATTTTGGATGTTCTTTGCATGAATTGTTTGGAAATGAACTAAAATTTAAGAATGTTACGTCCGTCTCAGCTTCTCGTTTGGTTGTCCATTTGAATTTCATGTCCTAGTGCTTCTGAATAGTATTTTGATGCTTGGGGTATCATAAAGATTCGGTCCCACAGTAATTCAGACATCCGACTGAATTCTCCAACATTCCCCACAATCTGTGCATCATCATACAATCAATTATACCACCTAATAAAGCTGTAGGAAATGATCTCATGGTGCAACTTTACAGATCTGAAATGAGATATTCTTTTCTATAAAATTTCACAGTCCCATAACTCATTTGTGCTTTCAGAGTTGTTGTACCGGGGTTGGCACATCAAGATCATAATCTGGATGCATAGATGCATGGTTCAAACTTTTGTGGCACTGGGATTTTACCTCCCAGATGCTCCTAAGCAAGTACATGTATATGTATATCAGCAATAGTTTCACATTTATTGCTCCAAAATTAAAAGAAAATTATTTTTGTGAATGAAAATAATGGTATTGCATCTAAAATAAATTTCCTGTATGTGTAGCTAAAGTAACTTTCTATTTGAATATATTCAGTAATGCATTTACAGGGGTCGAAATACTCTGGTGCACACTGCACTAAGCACATAGATTATTAGCTAGTGTAAGTAAACTCAAAATATTATGTGCACACCGTGCATGTAGAAATTAACATTTTCTCAATATATTCACTAAGCCTAAATTAAGTTCAACCAACATTGTGAGACAACTAAAAAAAAAAGCAAATTCTTTCGTGATCGCATCAATCGAGAACCCATAAATTTTATTTAAACTTTAAAAGTGGTGCATTTCACAACAAGTTAGTGCAGGTAAATTTCAAATTCAACATGCACACTGTGCATGCAGGGAATTTTTTCTATTTCAATCCCGGATTTATTAACATCACATTCTTACCTTTGGGACCAACAGAACATCAAACTGGAATACAGTCATACCTGTGTTTAGCAGCCACCCAAGGGACTTCATTAAAATGGTTTGAATATTTTCTTTATGGGTTGCCAACTCGTACTTTTGACATAATATTTGTTCAGAAAATAATGAGGCGGTACTGCTGCTACAAAATAAGTTTGACTTGAGGAAATTAAAAATTGCCTTATAACAATGCTAATTATTAAAACAAAAGGCAAATCTGCAAACATATTACTGATATGTAGCTGACGGTGCTCATATGACTTAGGACTGCCTAAAACTGGTCACTATAGACAGGTGGTCTTTATATAGAAATGGTCACTGTTTATATATTTTTGCACATGTTGTGGTAATATAAACCTAGAATGATGTCATAGTATGTATGTATGTATGTCTAAATATTTGCAATGGTTGAATTGTAAGTCTGCTAGACTTTTAAATGGTTCATAATATTAACCGGCTTATAAAAACTTTTGCTGGATCAAGCAGATCAGAAATATGACACTGACGGATCACGGTGCTGTGAAATGAACTCCATAAATCCCTGAAGGTTTCCAGATGGTGCCGTCAAGTCTGGCTTGTAGCGACTGTCTATCCCTTGATGAATATATCTACAACTATTCTTTTTGATTCACCTAATTGCCTTCATCAATATTCAAACTCAATAAATATCTAAGTCACTGTTCTCTTTCCACATATGGTCGGAATATTAAATTTTTTTCGTGTCACTGCTTACAAAAGTTAAATCTGAATATTGTGATGTCATAAGTATTGGTAAGCTACTGTAAACAAGTTTCAGGGTTTAGGGGACAATAGCTTGGTGTCATGTCTGCTTCAACCTTTTCACCACCAAAATTTTTCTGCCCAAATTTTTCTGTACTGTTTTCTTATGTTTTTTTTCAATATTTCTGGAAATTAATTGTAATTTGGAGCAAACATGCAACATTTGAATCAATTATCAGTTTTTACTCCAAAAATATGGCTATTTTTGTCTGAATCTTCTGAAGGAAAGTGCAGACTATAATGGGACTATTTTGTGAGTTTCCGATGCAAATAGGGAAGTGGTGGTGAAACGCTTAAACGACATTAATTTTATGAGACAAATTTCTGCGAATTTTGTGAGTCAATGAAAATCATGAAATATGGTAGCAGTGATCATTTTATTTTGGTGTCCTACGATATGGAGTGGCAGCAATACTTAAGCATAAGGCATAAAATCATCAAAATGTGATTTGCAGAAATTTGCATATCATTAGAATGTAGTCATTTCTATTATGTCTATTATTTACCACCTATTAGTGAGTAAAGGTCTCACCTCTGAAATGCTCTGGGGATAGCCCTACATTTCACTAACAAATGTGTGCTGTTTGATGATGAAGTGCTTTCACAAGAATCAAATTCCAATGATGTCGGAATGACTCTCTGAAGGCTTGTCTAAAAATGGCAGTCAAATGTTTTCAGGATTGTTCCTAACTGGTGAAATTTGCGAAAAATATGTCCTTCATGAAATCAAAATTGCTAACAGTATTTTCTTCATCATTCTAAGACTTTGTTCTCAGATCTGGTTCTATTTTTCACATTTTTACCAACCAGCATGTCAGACTAAATATGTCATGCCTTGATAATTAATACTATAATCTTTTTGTTCTTAATTTTAGGTCTTTGGAGCTTCTCCTGCGAGTGATATGATCAATAAATTCAGCGATGTTCTTCAGTTTGCCAGTCATGTGTCTAAACTGTTTGTAACAGAGATAAGAAGAAGGGCATCTAATCAATCCACAGGTGAATTGTATGATTGATTGATTGATTGCTATGTATTGATAATTGGTTACATATTATAATATGCAAATTATATGCTAATGAGTATAGTCCATTTCATTGAAATTACGTAAAGACGTGAATAATATTTGACATGTCTGTCTGTCACATTTGTAATTTGAAAAAAGTTGGCTGACTGGCTGTCAGTCATTTTAAAGTGTATTGAATACTAACTTTTCACTGTAAAATACATTTTTGCATGAATTTTTTTTTTTTTTTTTTTTTTTTTCGCTATTTTCATGTCATTTTCAATTTGTACAAAATTAAATTCCACAGGAAGATCTAATTAAATATTTATCAATATTAAAACGATCTCATAACGCTTGTGCTCGCTCCTGTGAATGCAAAAGTTGCCCTCTGCCCTTGATGCTTAGGATACAGTCCATGATGCTTCAATTACTTTGTTTACATGTGTTAGTCTTGTTGCGCACAAATTGAAAACAATAAAAAGCAAATTTAAAATTGCACTGTCTGGCGTTTTATTTCTCGTACACAGAAATAAGTTCTTGCAAAAATGAAGTATTTCATAGTAACTTTAGTTTATAAAATGTGTTGACGATTGATTTTTACTGTTTTACAGAGGCAGCCAGTTGTTCAATTGCTGACTATCTTGAAATACAGAGTACAGAAGAGAGTAGTACGGGCTGGATGTTGTTGAGTACGTTAAATTTACTTGCAGCTGGCGGTAAAACTGTTGTGGACGTTATGACAGCTGCATCTGTACCGTCTACACTTGTCAAGTGTCTTTATTTGTTTTTTGACTTACCACCAGTACCAGAACAGGAAGCCAATCAACAATCGCCTGACTCTGAATTTACCCCAATTGAAAGACGAGTTCTTTTACAGAAAATATGTGTTCAGGTAAATATGACTTGATATTGTAACACTGAATGTAATTAGTCCCGTTCAGACGTCCTCGGTCTGAAAGCGAAGACTTGTGTTTTGACCACCGTGTGTGTCCCCTTCTATGCGTCTCCACCTGTGTCTTGGACATGCCTGGTCCAGTCATTTTCAAACTTCACATTCATACTTCACATACATCTTGGGCGGCATATCCACTTCCATTTGTTTCATGATTTGATTCATGATGGCCGAATGGCGGTCATTTTAACTTTAAAAATTCTTCAAAATCAACTACATGTATTTCTATCATTTCAGAACCAGATCTCAGTTGTATATAGACTTTGTTCAAACTTGGCACGAGCTATATCTCAGCCATTTCTATTTTCAAATTTTAGACACATCATACATCATGTCGTACATATGTTGTGAGACAATTTGCCTTAATGAGAATAAGTAAAACCTGTGAAAAAAAAATATATAAACCATGAGGCGCATGTCTCATGTGTGGTGAGACACTGTATACTGACATATTGTAATCACTTGCACAGTTACTGGTTAGGTTATGTAGCCATGTTGCTCCCGCTGAAGAACTTGCTCGTAAAGATGATTTGACGTTACTGTTCAGTGCTATAACTAGTTGGTGTCCTCCGCACAATGTTCCGTGGAGGAAGGGTGCAGCGGAAGTGTTAGTAACGTTGTCCCGGCATGGATTGAGTCAAACTGTTGTCCACTACATTCATGGTGAGTATTATCAGTTAATTGATCTGATAATTTGATTCACAGGGACTTGTTGATAGGTGACTTTCCGTTTACTCTGGAATTTTGTGTATGCTTGATATACATGGGCGTCTGCTGCAGAAACCAAATGATTTTGATTTTGTACTTTAGAATTCATTTTTAGCTCACCGGACAGTAGGTTTTATAGTTCAATGTTGAAATGAAATTTACACTTAATTTATCAAAATTGACTATCATCAAATGTGTATAGCACATTATTGAACATGAAAATACAGCCTAAATACTTTTTACGAATCTCATGCGATGTTTTTATGCCACTACAATACTATGACATTTGTTCATAGTGTTTTTATGGTTGATATCACACAAGATCTCAAGGTAAATTGAAAATTGTTCTATTCACAAAGTCCTCATGTTATACAGTTCTGGAAGATAAGTTATTATTTGGGAAGGTTAGGAGTCTGTATAGCAAGGATATTGGTTTCATTTTGACACTAACATTGTTAGAATTGGAATTATTACCAGCAACATACATTAGAGTCAACAATACCGTGAACATTATAAATTATTAATAAACAAAAATATTTATAAACACATTACACATTGTATGAGCTTGTGAAGTGACATCATAGGTTTAATACTGTAAGTTACTTTATTTTCGCTATTTTCGCTGAAGGAATATTTCAGTGAAAATAAAATCCAGCGAATATACATTTTTTCCTATATTTTACATTCAACTCGTCAAAAATCAGTGAAAATAAATTCAATACAAAACACACAAAAAGTATTTTCAGCGAAAATTAATTCCAGTTAAAATAAATTATTTTACAGTAGTGTATAAATACACTAGATTATGGTTTTGATGGGAATGTGTTGACCAATCACAGATCATTATAGGCTGTCTAATTGCTGCACTCAAAGGAATGGAGGGGGCGGGGCGCAAGCCTAACCAATCCAATAAGGATGATTGGATTTGAATAGGAGTACAAGTATAAACATGGGTTTGTTGACTCAAGTGTATTAAAAATAGCATTGTGTATCAAACCGCGTCCTCAGTCTACACCAACTAAATGCAGGGGCCCTGACTAAATGTGAATGTGTTTTTCAAACCTGATGTGAAATTTAATTCTGTTTGTAAAAGATTTCTATCAACACAGGCATACAGACTATAAACAAGCAGGCAGTATAGGCTACTATTAAGTGAAATGTGTTTAATCTGACAATGGCTGTAAGGGTTCTTAGTTAACGTTTTCACCACCAAACTTTCACGTCTGAATTATTCTGCATTTTTTTCTTATTTTCTTTGATATTTCTGGAAACAAACCCTAATTTTGAAGCCAACAGGCAAAATTTTAGTAAATTTTCAGTTTTTATTAAAAAAATTGGTTAAATTTTGTCCTAATTTTCTAAATAATAATAATAATAATAATAATAGTGTTTATTTCGAGAACCAGCTCATAACAAAAAGTTGAAAATTACTAAAAACACAACAGCAAAACAGAAATTAGATATAGGGTGCCTTATAAATATCAGAAAAGACCCTTTTCCAGTAGTTGCTGTTCCTCAATATGTCTAAAGAAAAGTGCAGACTATAAACAGGACTACTAGTATTTGGTGAATTTTTGATAAAAAAACGAGAACTAGTGGTGAAAAGGTTAATGGGGTGTAATTCTGCCAGTCTACCATGATGAGACTCATCATTTACTTCACTGACATATCTCTCTGTATTATTTGTTTTGTTTTCCAGCGAAAGGATGCATTGCATTGTGTCTGGATAACATGCAAAGAGAGCAAGCTCTATCTCCTTTAGATATTGTAGAGATGTTTGTTACAGTCTTCTGTTTTTTAAAAGATTCCAGTGAAGTTTCCAACGTTTTATTAGATGATTTTCGAACCTGTCAAGGCTATTTATTTTTAACAGATTTTATGCTTAGGTAAGAAATAAACTACAGATGGTTATATTTTTTTTTTAGAAAACTGACCACTAGTACATTGTACATACGCCAAATCACGGAAATTTAAATAACTATTATTATACATCTGTCACCATAACGCCATAAGTTACAGTGTGCCGTACCGGTAATTTTGTAGTATTGCACTGGGTATTTTCATCCTACCATATTAGGAAACTCCAATTCCAAATATGGAATGATAAGCGTCCTCTAATAAAAAAAAAAGCAAACATGGCTGCCCCCAAGGTTTGACTGAACCCCACACAAAAAAGTTCGCTAAATCTGTTCTAAACGCTTTAGATTTCAGCGTTCCCTTGATTTATTCCTTGGAGGAAAAGACGTATAATAATAAAGTTATTACGAGGATACTGCAAAGTATGTACTCAGACAGTATGCGATCTCATCGACCTCCGCTGTTTGTCGGTCGATATTCCTGCTGTACTGTCTTCGTGCATACTTTGCAGTATCTTTGTAATACTCCATATTATATACCAACACACAAACAAATAAAATGTTAGCGATGAACTAAGTTCGTTTCTCACTACAGCATTCCTAAAATCTAAACAAATGTCTGTATTCATGTGCTAATATGGAATATTTGAATATACAAAGTTAGTGCATAGTACAGTATAATAACCATTTCTGTCATCTCGGCGAGTTTTCTGTTAAAATAAAAACATGTAAATGTCTCGTAGACTTCTGATGCAAAATTCAAAAGTCCATGGAATGTTTCTGACTCTGTTTCTCTTTAGTGTATGTTTGATACTGAAACATGTTTTTTTTTTTTTATTTATTTATTTTAGACTTGAGCAGATGAAGACAGATGAATCAGGAGATGCGTTACGTAATTTAGTTTTATTAGTGTCCTCACTGACATTGTGTGGATTTGTAGAGTTGAAGCCAAGCACTGCTACCAATGGAGCACCATTTCAACAGCCAGGATTTACAGTACCGCAACCTACAGGCCGAGGTAAATCATAGTCTCCCCACCCCCCCCCCCCCCTCCAACCCACCCTTCTTCTCCCCTCCCTCCAATCTTTAGCATCTTGAATACTCTGTTTGATTGGCGGCAGTGATATGACTTTTAATTTCCAGGGTTCAGCAGATTTTGTAAAGTGCACCTTGTTTTGTTGGAATTGTAAATATGCGGGGAAAATTATATCGGTAGTTCCAGAGAGCTCTAAGACAGCCTCTGAAACTTGTGACTTTGCAAAATTATTTCTTAATTTTTCCTACTTTCTAACTTTCTTTGTCTATGTAAATGCACTAAGGGATCTCCTCATTTGATGCCATCACATTTACCCAGAATTCATTTCACTTGTAACACGTGTGTTTATGGCAACGAAAATTGTTTTGCGCTGTGTGAATGTTTGTATACTGTGACATTGTTTACCCCAAATAAAGGAAAATTTGAATGATTGAATGAATTTTATTGTTTTTGATGCTGGATGTATAATATTTTGTTTTAGTCGACAAAATATTGGCATTAATTACATTTATAAAGTTTGCTGTGTTTTAGTTAAGTGTCTCTCCTGTCAATTAATTCTTATGATTTGCACAAAACAGTGCTGTACATATTCCTATCCATGATACTGAGAATTTAACTCTTCTTTTGATCTTGTCGTTCCCTTCTCTTTGAGTGATGGAAAGTCAGTTTATATATATGAATCTCTGATGTACCAGTAATTATTTACATCGTTTTGATCAATTTTGTCTTGCTGCTAGCGAAATAACACTGAATGAAGTGGTTCAGTTTGTAGCAAAGACCCAACAACAAAGGTCAAACTGAGTACAATAAACAGCCTTTTTAGTCCCCGTTCAGACGTAGTCTGAAAACAGGGACTTATGGCTTGACCTTTGTGCGTCCGTGTGTGCATGCCTGGACCAATCACAATCAAGCTTCACACATACTTCATACATAATATTATACATATGCACATCAATTAGTTTCACGATCTGATTCAAGATGGCTGAATGTTGGCCATTTTTGTGCTAAAAAATTAAAATCAAGCTTTTATGGATGGATTCTGTTCAAACTTGATATACGTTGGACATTATGGGACCTTGACGCACATCATTTGATTTTTCTGATCTGGTTTAAAATGGCCGACTGGTGGCCATTTTGTTTTAATGAATGCAGTTCTAGTGCCATATCTCTGTCATGTTTTGACTGATTATGTTCAAATTTTATATATTCATTATACATCATGACATAGATAGATTGGTTTGATTCAAAATGGCCAAATGGCAGCTTTTTTTTTGTGCTAAAAAATCATCAAAAATCAAAACATTTTTGGCATTCCAGAACTGGATCTTGGCATTTCTGGATGGATTTTGTTCAAACTTGGTACATACATTAGAGATTATAGGTTCCTGATGCAAATCATTTTATTGTCCAGATTGGATTCAAAATGTCTGACTGGCGGCCATTCTTTTTAAATGAATGTGCTTCTAGAGCCTTATCTGATATGCTTTGACTGATCATGTCCAAATTTTATATATTCATCGACCATTTTGTTTTAATTAATGCTGTTCCAGAGCAATATTTCTCAGTATGGACAAGTACTCATTTGATGATCAGATACATTTTAATGTTCAAAAATTATCATAATCAAGATCATCTTGTGGATCCATACTTTTGACATGTTTATGTTCCAACTATATTACTACAATGTATAAACAAAATTATATATCTTAAATTTGATAACTAACGGGGACTGTGCCATACATGGCTTGTTCACAAATGATTGTTTTAGCATTATTTTTGAAACGCCATTTATACTGCTTGAGGTGTTTGTATGGTAACTAAACATTACTTTGTGTGTATAACATTTTAACATTATATTCTTGTTTGTTGCCCCCCTCATGTACGAACTCCTTGCCTGTTATCCATATAGCTCAGATCGGCTTGATTCATGTAGGTCAGTCAAACCAAAACGTATTATTAAGGATTGGAAATAAGGTCATCTTAGTCTAATCTAAGTTGCATCTCTGAATTCACAAACCCATTAATACTTACTTGCAAGCCTAAAGTGTCTGTGAAATTCCCAATTATGAATTTATATTTGTGGTTTCTGTTGCGCTGAAATGGACATTTATAAAACAAAAATTAAAATATTTAATCGTCTTTGAGTAAAATTGAAAAAAAAAGATTGTAGCCACACCCCCTCCTGCCAAATGCCCAACTGTGGATTTATATTTTTGGTTTCTGTAGCGCTGAAATGGACATTTATAAAACAAAAATTAAAATATTTAATCGTCTTTGAGTAAAATTGAAAAAAAAAGATTGTAGCCACACCCCCTCCTGCCAAATGCCCAACTGTGAATTTATATTTTTGGTTTCTGTAGCGCTGAAATGGACATTTATAAAACAAAAATTAAAATAATTAATCGTCTTCGAGTAAAATTGAAAAAGGATTGTAGCCACACCCCTTCCTGCCACAGTTGACTGTTTCTGGTTTACGACTTCTCGTGAAGTGAAACTGCCCCATCAAACATCAGACTAAAGGGGAGGAGTCATGCAAGTGCTACATGAATGGACTGAATTACTAGTATGCTTATAATGATAATCGTGATTTTGTTTATTTTAGACTATTTAAAAGTAAATAGACAATAAAATGGAAACTGAAGCGTTCTCTAGAACTGTGTGACAGTCTCGCTACCATGTCTTCTTTTGTGTAGCAATGCAAATGAGGACTAATGAGGAGTCTCGGCGAGAAATGACTAACAGCAGAATTAAAATATTTATTTTGTTTGTATAATTTGTACATCGGGGTAGCAAGCATTTCACAGGCACTTTAATTGTTAGTATCCAAACCCATATATCACCTTCATTCCTTTATAGCATACTGCAAGATCATTTTTAATAAAAATTCTCTATTGTATGATTTTTTTGTTTCATATTCTTGGCAGGCAGAATACTTTTTTTTGGGGTTCAGAATGATACAAAACTTGTATGTCCTTTGTTGGTGAAAGTCTTGAAATAAAAAATGATATTAGGTGTAAAAGATTATTGCACTACTATTTATTTGAGGTGTGATAAGATTTCAAATATAAAGGTTGATTTGAGCATGATTTTACAACTGTTAACATAATGTATTTTCTAGTAACATGCATGTTATTTGTTATGGTAGGTGTGAGCGTTCGCAACATGCAAGCCTTCCAAGTTCTACAGACAGTCTTCCTTAAGGTAAGAAGTTGTTCAGTATATTTATGTTTTCTCTTTTGATAGGGAAGTAACCAAAATCAAACTGGTCGGTTTCCCGCAGGGCTTCGCCAACAACCGGGAAGTCAGGATAAGCTCCTTGGCCGCATGAAGGTCACCGCCAACACAGGCACTTACCCGGGGTTAACCGGGTTTCACGATTGGAAAATAAATAAAATTACAGTCTCATTCTATATCACACCATTGTTGTTAATACATGTATTGTACTCAGTTTAAAATGACAACACTCCCAACTCACGCCATACTACGTAATTGTACAATTGTGTTTGTTGTGAATATTTCATTCTCCTGAATGCCGTCGTTCATACCGCCGACCACATGTATGAACATTCAAGTGTGAATCACTACTCCCGGGGAAGCTCGGGTCTGGGGAAACTATGTTATTTCCGGGCCATGTCGTGCCGGTTTGAGCATTGGCAACCGACCGACTAGTTTGATTTTGGTCCTTTCCCTTATTTCCTAATGGAAATTGGTACTGAGCGTTTTTCAATATACCACTTTGAGAAAATTAAAAGCAACTGCAGCTTTCAAAATATTTTGTTACCGATATATCATTATTTGTATGGTTGAAAATAAAAAAAAAAACAAGGTTTGTGGATCATCATATTCTTATTTCCATGGAAACAGCTGTTTTTTTTAAATTTTTTAAACAATATTATGCTCATCATGATAATCATTATGGATAGCATACAGGAAGTTGTGCTCATGAGTGAAATGCATCATGGGAAAAAATTTCCATCAAGAAATTTATTAGTAGTGAACATTTCTCATGGAGTGCCAGTGACTTCCCTGAAATGTTGATAAAAATGTATTAATTTATTAATTAGGATGCAATTTTTTTTAGAATTTCCCCACAATTATATGCACCTAAAAATAACTGATGTGGAAAAATAAAGGGCAAACAAAATGTGGCAAAAGATATTTCTGGGAGTTTTAAATGTATTGTGTGTTTTATTTTTCAGGCGCAGACAACCCAGCTGTGTAGTACCATATTAGATGTTGTCTCCACTGTATATAACTCAGATAATGCAAATTATTTTATTTTGGAATCACAAAATACGATATCGCAGTTTGTAGAAAAAATACACACCAAACCCGCTGAAATACAGGTAATGGTCACACCATGAGGATGTTACACCATTGTTCCTGTGGTTACAACATGCATTATGTCACAACGTACCATGCATGTCTGATATCTTAAACTGTATTATGAAGTACCGTATGTACATTGTATATCAATTGCAATAATACTGTTTTTAATTGCAAATAGCTAAACATTTCTGTTGATTTGGGTGTGATTGAGTTTTCAGCATCTTAGGGCATCATCGAGCCCAATTGGGACTTTCTGACATACTGTAAAATGACTAATTTTCACTGGGTTTAAATTTCACTGATTTACCATTTCAGGCATATTCAGTGGGTTTTAAAATCACGGTTTTATCATTTAAATAATGTGTTTTATGCTAAATTTTACATATTCACTGGGTTTTAATTTAGCGCATTTTTCAGTCAACGAAATAAGCCAAATTAAAACCCAGTGAATAATTAACCATTTTACAGTATTATTCGAATGAAAATTCAATGTGAAGCATTACTTCGACGATCAGCAATTATCACCCATTTGTCAGTATACCTGGCATTTTATACTCAATTTTCTTAAAAATATTTCTTTCCATAATCCCAAGTGACGTCTTGTTAAACTAGATTTTGAATCATCCTTCATATCCTCGGGGGCGGACATCTGGGCATTTTCACCGCCTGGCAACCGGAGGCGGTGAAAACAAAGGCCCAAAACTCGCAGAAAACGAAATTTTAGGATGATTGTTGAGACTCCTCTGAACAGTGTAACAAGATTAGCCTTACGTGTGTAACATATATAAATTTGGTTGTTCGAGATTACTTCAAAGTTGAGTTTGTGTTGTTTTCTCGAATTTTCACCGGCTCGACCGGCGTTCCACATTCAGTGGTGCGCATCGTAGCAACGTGGAACGTCTTGTGACGTAGCTCCGCCCCCGAGGATAACTGGAGTTGTTATTAATATTTCATCTTCTTCTTTTTACAGGAAAAATTGTTTGAATTAATAGAATTTGTTGTGATGCATCTAAATTATGTACCGTGTAAAGAGCTCATCAGTGTCAGTATACTCATCAAAACACAAGAGTAAGTTCTGTTTTTAGCTCCGCTGCTGATTAAGTCGTTAGAGTATGCTGTTCATAATACTTGGTTGTTCAGTGGCTGGCAGTGTCAACTTTACATTTTTGACATCTTGAAAACAGCAAGTGCGCTTGCTTTGATACTTGGTATATATATATACCTTGGGTGGACCTCTCTCAGATTTGTTCATTTTGTGACGTTATCTTCAAATCTATGATTTTGATGAATATTTTTGTCATTTGTTTTTTATTTTGCATCATTTTCTTTTTTAAATAAGTAGGATTGTTATGTTCTATCAATGTAGTATGTGGTTATGAATCACTTGAGTTACCAGCCTACTCAGAAATGAAAATACCCAGAATTTAATAAGTTTGCCATAAAATGTACCGTTTTGGCTATTATAAAAATATTAACTTAAAAAAGTTTGCGGAAACCAGCCTATTTTTAGAGAAAATATAGTTTTGTTTCCTTGAACTATTTACAAAATCTGTGTTAGCAAAATGATGTTATTAAAATAGAATATTGGCTTGGAAAAATAAAATAATTTAGAAGAAAGTTGCACAAAGTTATGACCATGTTTTTCTGACTAAGGCTTGACTGACAATAATCCTGACAGTGGGCGTTAGATAAACCAGCATTGTTTGCGACAGGAAGCTTATCCCCCGTTATGTTAGAATCTTTCCAAAATTTTGACCTTTTGAAAAACTGGGATGATGTATCAAGGTCTAGGGTAACGGTTTTATCAATTTTTGAAAAATCTAGAAAAAAATTAAAATTTCCCTTTTCGCTACCTTAAAGATTTTAAAATCTTTGACATTGTGTTCTATAGAATTGTTCTAAAAACCAGTTTTTGAAAAATCTGGTACTGTAACACTAATATTGATGTTTCATCTCACCATCAACTCACATTTGTATCCATAATTGAATGTACGGTAATGTCAAAATTAAGGAACATTAACTTTCCCAAATTTTATGAGAAGGCTTCTTAAATGCAATTTTCAAATCGCATAGAGGATAGGTCATATGGTTAATGATGTTTTGAAATGAAAATAAATTTTCCTTTCCAAATTTTTGCTTAAATTTAGCTCCAATCTTTGTCGACTTCTCCACTTTTATTGTAAAGTTTCGTCACCATAATCAATGTCAAATTGTGTCTGTCTGGTTTGCAGGTCTATAGATTGCTCTATAGCTGCCATGAAGAGTTTACTACTAATCTTAAAATACAGTGCAATATATAAAGACGTTTACAGAGAAGTTGGTTTATTGGAAGTTATGGTGACGTGTTTACATCGATATGCGGCATTATTAAAAGACCCTCAGATGGAACCAGTAGTAGAAGATGGTGAGTGACTTTGAAAGATTACTTTTGATTTGCTATCAGGATCTTATACCTCATGATACAGCCAATCAGAGAACACGTACCTTGCTTTCAGTGTACTCAACAGCATTGTAGGGACCTGGATTCACAGTGGAATTCTAAAAATAAAAAAAAAATAATGAAAGATTACTTTTGATTTGCTATCAAGATCTTATACCTCATGATACAGCCAATCAGAGAACACGTACCTTGCTTTCAGTGTACCCAACAGCATTGTAGGAATCTGGATTCACAGTGGAATTCTAAAAATAAAAACAATAATGAAAGATTACCTTTGATTTGCTATCAAGATCTTATACCTTATGATACAGCCAATCAGAGAACACGTACCTTGCTTTCAGTGTACCCAACAGCATCTGGATTCACAGTGGAATTCTAAAAAAAAAAAAAAAAAATGAAAGATTACTTTTGATTTGCTATCAAGATCTTATACCTTATCATACAGCCAATCAGAGAACACGTACCTTGCTTTCAGTGTACCCAACAGCATCTGGATTCACATTTGAATTCTAAAAATAAAAAAAAATAAAGATTATATATGGCTATTGGGAGTTTCAGAAGGTATAAACTAAACTGAATCTCTTTGTTTTTATACTTATTTTGATTATAAAAAAATTGAATTTCTTATCAAATTACAAAATTAATTTGTTTTTGAAGATTACTATAATAACATTAAATGATTTTTTTGTTGCGTCATTACAATGTAGATAACCAGGGAATGAGCATACATACTGTGTTGGTAAAAAATTGATGTGCATCAGTGACAGTACCACACTGCTTGCTTTCTAAATTCAGTAATCAATCAAATTATTGTCCGTGTATTGTTAGATATAATGTGCTAAAATTCTGCCAGTCTCACTCATCACCGGGAAAAACACAAAATCATTTACATTTTTACTTACTCATGATTTGTCAGACAAATAAAGACAAGTCTTTTCCTAACATCGTCATTTTTCTGACAAAATGATTATGTACCATGCAATTTTCTATAAATTCTTAATTTATTCTGGACAAATTGGACATAATTTCCCCATTGGTATCAGTCATTGTTACTGATTATTTTATTTTGCGAAAGATTAGAAAAGTTGACGTTTTCGTTAAAAAGGTTAAACAATTTATATTTACAGGTTCTGTGTATACGGTTGAGGTCGATGAAAACCAACAAACGCTAGCTTTTTTAACGATGGATGCAATGACAATATTACTCAGTGTCAATGCTAATAATGCGAGTAAGTAGTACAACGAATGGTTATCTGCTGTCACTATTTTATAATTTTAATATTTCATGTTGAATTTTTACAAATCACAAGACAGGCATTTATGTTATACCTCCGACGCTAACATTAAAACATGAACTTTCAGCAACCATTGTGGATGCTGCTCGATAACTATATACTAAGGACAAGGACATAGTCATCCTACAGTACCCTACCATTGTGACACAAATATTGTCAATTTGTACCTACCGGTACATTGAGAACAGGAACAGCACCCAAGACCGACAATTTTACTTTATCTCCAACTGGACAGCATTTCCCACTCTGGGTGATACAGGCCTGGCAAGTGGGCAGTGTGTACTGTGGTTTTTACCACCAAGTGTGCATCCAACCACGGGAATCAAATTTGAAATCTCCTTGATGTTGACATGCTAATCATTGCACCAAGCATCAGATGCAAACCTTGTTAGCAGAGTTATGTATTATGAATTGCCATTTTATCGGAAATCACAAAAATAAATATGGAAATTATGAAACTTGCATTATTTTTGTCAAAAATCATCTGCTTTCATTAATTGGAATATTCACTAATTAAATGCATCAAGTACATCAATTTCTTCAAATAGCACATTTACCAAAATTTTCTCATTCAAGGTCACATGCAATAGCCTGTATCAGTGCAGTAGTGAAGGATCATTACAGTATATAATTTTATATAAAAATTATGTAGAAATACTTTTGTGAATGGTGACACATGTTGACTTTGACGCTTGAAGAATTTGTCCAGACCTTCCTGTCTAATTTGTGTCATTCATTTATTTCATTTCACAGGTGTATTTAGAGAGAGTGGCGGTGCTCGATGTATCCATAATTTAGTACCGTACTTACAATGTAGAAAACAGTCGTTAGCCATTGTGCAGCAGTTAGTGTTATCTAGTGGCGGTGATGATGATATGGGTACACTGCTAGGTATGATGCACTCGGCACCACAAACAGCATTACAATTCAAGACAGATATACTACAGGTGAGTGAAGTGAGACTTGGTGTTTGGTTAACTACAGATGAAAGCTTGAATACCATAATTGGTTTATTAGTTGTGCATGCACTTTAATAAATGACAGGGATATGTCTATAGTCGTATTCTCATGATCCAGTTTCAAATACAATAATTGTACAATTTTGGTTCATGTGCTTTTAATAAAACGCCAAATGAATTGCTTTCTGTGGGATGTATGTAAACATGTTTGTATTGTTTTCTGATACTTTTAGCATTTTATGAGATGGTGTGTATCTCATTTATCACGCAGAGTATGCTTGCTCTCAGCATGCTTCACTCACACACACTTCCACCACATATGGTTTTGCATAATAATGGCCGTGCATGCATTAGGTATGCAAATATTTATGGCAAAGAGAGTGCGAAAGAAAACTGTCATTTAGGACCAACACCATTTTTGCATGTAATATTAGGTCTATTTTTTATAAAGGTCTACTGTAATGTATGCGCTTATATGCAAATGACAGAAGTGTATCTGTTGTTTACTGGCGCTGCATAGAATAAATGGTATTTCATTTGCACACTTCTATTGGAGATGTGCTTCTCATAGAGTAAATGAAATAAATTTGTTTTGCTGTTCACACAGCCCCTCAGTGACTTGTGCTGTTACCTTCAAGACCAGTCAATAGATATATGTAGTTGCCTTATACAATATAAGTAAGGATGTAATATTATGAGATTATTGCGAGGATACCGAAAACGCATACGATGCATTACCATACTGCCTGAGTGCATACTTTGTGGTATTTTCATGATACCCTTATTAGTCGACATCTTTTTCCTGTTTGTAATGATAATTTAATGAGATAACAACCCAAAATGGCAATTAAGAAAATGTTTTGTGCTGTCCGAACATTTGCATCAGTGACGGGATTCTATCACCGCCACGCCACGCATTGATAGTGCTTCTACATCTGAAGTAAATAGTGGAAAGTGTTTTATTGTGACATAAACATGACACACATTTAATAAGGAAAACGTTCAAACTCATCCATAACATTTTCAACACATCCATACAGTGTTTTACGAATGAGTAAAATTCAGTTTTCTTCGATGTCAGATGTATAATAATCTCATTTATTCATTCTTCTCCTTCTCAGGCCCTATTATTTGTCTTAAGAGACAGTCATCGCTGCAGAACTGTTTTTAGAAAAGTTGGTGGATTTGTTTACGTTATGTCTGTATTGGTTTCCATGGAAGGTTGCTTAGCACAGCCTCCCAATGCTCCCTGGGATACTGGTAAGTCCTGTAGTAGTTTAACTCTACTCCAGTCATCTGTACTTTGTAAAGCTTAACCTGAAAATGTCATTCCCTGTTTTGCAAATATATAAAACATCGCTCCCAGAACAGTTAAAAAATATAAAACGTGTTCAAATAATGCTGTTTTTGATAAAAATTATGAAATTAAAAAGTAGATATTCTGCCCTAACTTTCTCACCCATTTTATTTTTAGATTATTGGAAGATGCTATCACTTTGACAAACATATCTTCAACATACTATAACAAAGCTAACCAACTTTGTTCGCTTCAGAACTTATTGTATACAACTTTAGCTTAAATTAGGAGGAATGCCTAAATTTATATTAATTTTCTAATTGCTCATCCACAATCAGGGGAATGGTACATTGTATCTCAGAAATCTGAAAAGTTAGGAATGCAACTGTTACATTCATTTATATGTGAATATTTCACCTGCTGGAAGCCTCCCAAGATGCCAAAATGTTTATACCAATTGAAACGTGTTTCATGACAATCACAGCCCATCAATTGCTTGTATTCACAGTTACTGCAAATTTATGCTAATTATATGCAAATTAGATGTATACAGCAGGTTTATAACCATAATATACACCTATCATTTGTTGCAGCCAATTCAGATTCTGTGTTACAGTTATTACATATAGTATTCCAGACTTTGACGTCAGCTATGAGACATGAACCCGCTAATGCTAAGTTCTTCGCCTCAGAAGTGAGTATTGAAAATGTTAAATAAAACATTCTTTCGTCAATGCTATTTTATAGTTTAATCCTTTGGGCGCCAAAGTCAACTTTAGGCAGCGTCCACAAAATAGTTCTATATACCGTCTGTGCATATTAATTAGGTAATTTGCATATCATTAACCATTTGAGCACCAAAGTCAACTTTTGTCACCATTCACAAATAGTTCTATATACCGTATGTGCATATTAATTAGGTAATTTGCATATTATTAACCCTTTGAGCACCAAAGTCAACTTTAGGCAACGTCCACAAAATAGTTCCATTTATAGTCTGCTCTTTTTCTCATAAAATATTGTGAAAATGTTTTCAATCAAAAACTTGAAGCAGTCTCATAATTTTGTTTTTTTTGGTACGAAATAAAGATGAAATTCACTGCACAGATTTACCCAAATTGAAGTGAGAAAAAAATTTGGGGCTCAAAGGGTTAAAAATTAGTCAATCTGTGATAAATTTTATTCTTAAGTTTCAAAACTCACTCAGTGAATCACAAAGCAATTCATCAAAGGTTGATCAATTTATACAGTCAAAAAGTACAAATGTAGTGATTGTGCTGTCATTCTGGATTTTTAAGCTGATTATAGGTAAATGCTTTTCACAATAGAAATTATATTTTATGTTAAAAATTAACTTTATATTGTCCACACAAAGTGTCTGATAGAAATCTATTGTTAAATAGTCCATAGTTGAATGAACTCTATTATTAGTCGATGAATAAAATTGTAACAAAATAAAAGTATTTCTTGTTTACCATTTCACTCATATTTTGTATCTTAGGTGCGATATGAGAGTTTAACCGATGCCATCAGGTTACTAGGATGTTTTGACACAGCTACTGAGTTAGAATCACCATTTCATAATAACCAGCTGTCTGATTTACCGTCCAATACTCAACCATTCTGTGATGTATTTGATGTGGAAAAAGTGTGAGTATAACATGTTTTATGTGATTATTCCTTACAACACTAATTTTAAAAGTAAACTCTTGTTGCCTTTCACGAAACAGAAATATATTTTGATCAGTCAATACCTTTTAATGGGAAATTATGTTCATATTTGTCATACATAAAAATGATAAAAATGTACAAAATCTTTTACAAAAATTGGCTGGAAATTAGATGTTTAGAGAGTTAATAATATCACTGGATACTCCAAACAGTGCAGGGATTCAATTTGTAACTTTTCACTATTTTAATGTTTTGAACAATTTTAATAGGTTTAAAGTTCACAAATTAGCCATGGAAACAACGAGTTCTATTGTTGTTCCACATGTTCATGTGGATTTAATTTAGCAAGTTTTACTTATCAGTGAAAATAGCGAATTCAAATTGAAACCCAGCAAATAATTAATGCATTTACAGAGTGAACATTTAAAATTGAAATTGAAATGAAGTAAACAGTACAATTTTTATGATGCAATGCTTCGAAACGATATTACCTGTAATTTTGGCAGCATGTTTTGTAGTACATTGTACCATAACTCTCTGGGAACAACGCACGTGAACATTTAAAATTGAAATTGAAATGAAGTAAACAGTACAATTTTTATGATGCAATGCTTCGAAACGATATTACCTGTAATTTTGGCAGCATGTTTTGTAGTACATTGTACCATAACTCTCTGGGAACAACGCACGTGAACACATTGTATGCATCACATGAATTACATAATATATAGAACATAAATCAATATGTATTAGACTGATAGAAATATTCCTTTTCTGAAGATGCAATAAAATATTACTATTACTAGATGTAACATGAACAGATAATGTGATAGAAATGGACATAACATAAAGTTGAAATTATTAATTTTAAGTTAGAAGTCAACTCATCATTTTGTCATAAATCGCATGACAATGTTCATTGGTTTATTATGTAAAATCATGAAGCTATTGTCCAATGGCAACAAAAAATAGAATTCTTTTGTGTGTGTTACAGTAACGTATTTTGAGAAACTTGTCCTAATATTTTTCAAAAATCGCTATTTTCAGAACAATTCCATATTAAACAAAAATTGCATTTTTTGACACTTTTTGAAACACAGATTTTTAAAATAATTCAGGAAAACAATGAGTACCCCATCATTCACAATATATAATTTTTTCATCCTATGTCACTAGCCTAAAATACAACCACCAATTTCTTGAAAATTATACTGGTGACCCCCAACTTTTTTGAGTCGATACTCTTATATTGCCCGGAAGTACAATTTATTAAAAAATGGATAAATTCTGGGTATTTGAATTCATTAGTAGGCTTCTACCTTAAGTCATATATTATTTGTATAACATGTGTTTCTCCGTCCAATTTTTCATTAGCAATAATGAGACAATAGGACCCGACTTGAGGTCGGCGTGTCTGCTGTTCAGATGTCTCTATGACATGGCAATTGATGCTTTTGAAAGGTAAGCACCCTTTACTCAATCCAATGTTATGAGAAATGAGAACTTTGTCAAGTGAAAACAATTCTAAAAAACAGTCAGTAAAATTTGGCATTTGACCGTCATATTGTGTTCACACGGCACATTGCGTTGTGCAAGAGCCGGTGTGACAACGGCATTTAGAATCTGGTTCACCCATTTTACAACGGTGTCAAAAACGCCAATGCCACAACTGCGTATTTTGTTTACACACGCATTTTAACAACGTTCTCAAATAAAAGGCGCTGTGACAACGGCTTAATTTGTTCAGTGAGAACACCACTTATAACAATGCACTCTCCTTCCAGCTAAATGTATGATCACTATCATACTAATTTGCGTATGGTTGTAACCATTATTTTGTTACAGTTGCAATTTTTTTTTTTTTTACTTAAAGCATAGCATTTCCGTGGCCAAGCATGGTAAACACACTGGTTCTGATGATACAAAGTGTTAATGCACTGATTATTTCATTTCTGTCCAATCAATTTGCAGTAAATCAGCAGAAACATCCATCAACTCACCAGCTGTCTCGAGACACGTACACGATGCATTTACTCCAAAACCTTCACCACCTGCTTCACCAATGAGAAAACCACAAACGCTATCCACCACATCAAATAGATCAACATCAGGATTAAAATCACCAGTACGAACACCCGTATCATCATATTCCACAGCGCCCTCTCATCCAACTATTGTCCATCCCGGTGCTGTCATTTCTATGGTAGATCTATTGCCAGCTGTACACTGTGATCAAGACAAGAAGGTCTGTATACCATCCTCTTACAAGCACATTTCTATTTTCCTTTTCTTCTCTTTTAGCTTCCCTGTCACACATGTAGCAAAACGCTGCTTTTGACCCAGTTAATTTTAACCAACTGTTGGAAAACTTGTGTCAACCAATCAACCCGGTTTTGATTCAGGTTTATATAGTTTAGCTCAAAGTCAGTGGCCTAATCTACTTGTAGTCCTTGAGTTTTATATTAGATAAAATCACTTCAGAATGGGATAGTTTGAGGGATCTTGATTTGGGCGAGTGATAGGTGAGTGGAGTGATCACTCGCCTTAGAAAGTAAAGTCTGATTGTTTCCTGCAGCATAATGTATTCTGATTTCTGTACAGAAGGAGATAGCTTTACAGATGCATGTTGCCGATGTTATTGAAGATTTAGTGAAAAGTGAGAGGAACCAACAGGTGATGTGTGAGGCAGGGTTGCCACAGCAACTACTGCGACGATGTGCTGTTGCTCTTGCTGAAGAGGAGCATCTACTTCACCGATATTTACAACATACCCTAGAGAGATTAGCGTCTCAGGCATTGGAACCTAAAGATCTTAGGTATGTTTTGTATATTGTATTTTGTATATTATGCTATAAGCCTATATTTAACAGCAAGTGCTGTGATGTGGTATCCATAGTAAATTGAACACTTATATTTCTTTTCATTAATCGTTGTGTGATGTATTCCATGTGTAATTGACCATGTTTTCATCAGTTTAGTTATGACATGATATAAAACAGCAAAAACTATTTTAAATTGAGTTGTTACGGAAACGCTGATTCATAGATCCAACTCTATGTTGCACCATAGCAAATCATTAATTTAACTGAAGTCAAATACAGCTTTCTAAACAGTGCACAGTTTTTGTGATGATGGTCATAGATGGTTGTCTTCAGTGAAAACATGTGAATCAGACTTTGACATGATTTGTAACAAAACTTCAAAAAAAAAAAACATTTTGTTTCAATCTTTCAGAGATTTCCTCCGGCTTGGTAAACCACTCTGTTGCATGGCATGGGATGAAAAGCACGGCGGTATCCAAACATCTTGCAGTGTGACGTCAATCAGTAGCAACTCAACGTTAGAAGTAGATATCATGAATTCCGATAACAACTCTGTCACTAAGTGTGATCTCGCATCCAAATGTAACTGTAATCTGTGTAAAGTAGAAGGAGACTGTGTACCCCTCACGAGGGTCAAGTGTTTGGTTTCCATGACAACACCTAGAGATGTACGCCTACATGGTGCTTCAGTCACGCCTTCTTTTGTTGAGTTTGATATGAGTGCGGAGGGTTTTGGATGTTTGTATCTACCAAGTATAGCCCCGCAGCAACCGCCAAATGTAACAGTTGTGTCAGTACCCGGTGTTGTTGGTGGAATGGAAAATAGCGTAATTGGAGGAATTGGATCAGGTGAGGGTGCTTTTCATTTGGATCAATCATAGGCTTTCGTTATGTACTGTGGAATACTTTATTTTCGCTGGAATTAATTTTCGCTGAAAAGGCTTTTTGGGCATTTTGTATGGAACTTATTTTCACTGATCTTTTATGAGTTTAATGTGAAATATAGGAAAAAAAGTATATTCGCTGGATTTTATTTTCACGGAATCATCCCTTCAGCGAAAATAGCAAAAATAAATTCCAAGCGAAAATAAAGTATTCTACAGTATTTGATGTGGGTTTCTTATGATGTGCAGCTGCATTATTTTTAACATACTAAAATATGATTTATTTATTTCTTTTCAATTGTATTTCATTTGGAGCTATACCCAGCACTGTATGTATTACATTACAGGTCTTGTTCATCTGTTTTTTTCTGTATTCTCGGGCGCTGACATCAGGGCATTTTCACTGCCGTGCAACCATCACGGTGAAAAATGAAGGCCGAAATTTCAAAAAACTTTGAATAGTTGCTGAGAACTCCCCTGAACAGTATAAGATTACCCCTACATGTGCAAAATATATAAATTTGGTTTCTCAAGATTATATCAAAATTGAGTTTGGGCTGATTTCTTGATTTTAGCTATTTTCACTGGCTCTTCGACAGACGTTCCACAGCAGCTCGCACAGAGCCCATAGAAATATGTGGCACTATGGTGCGTTTTTTAGAATGTTCTGTGACAGCTTCGCCCCCAAGAATATGATCACAGACTCTTTAGGATAGATTACTATTACTGAAATCAAATCTCATAATGTAGAGAGACTATGCTTTTGAAATTTCTCAAAATTGTGTATGAGACAACAGGGCAGGTAAAGTTAAAATTGTATTAGCCCTGCTAGAAAGTTACCAGCCGTGCATTAAGAATTATTTTGAAACACTTCTGTTCTCATTCATGTAAGTATCACAAACACATTGCACCAACACACAATATGGATAATTTTAAAATTGTTTAATTTTTTTCGTTTCACAATCTTTTTGTCTGCTGCATTTCAGCTGCAGTATAGTTTCTTATATCCGGTTTCTGTCCGTCATGTTTCCTTTACATCTCTAACATTTTTTCAGAAATTCTGCCGCAGATATATCGATAAAAAATGGCAGGTTGATGAACAAGTGTCTGTTGAATATGTACATAATTTTTTTTCCTGGTCTGAAAATCTTAATTGGGTCTTTTTCACGATTTTTATCATAAATTACCTCTCCCAACAACACTGAGAGAACAACTGAGCATGCTCAGAATAAATAATTAGGTTAGATTGTAATGCTAGGGTTTTCAGTGACGTCATGACCTTGATCTGAATCAGTGACAGAAATGGACCACAGTGTGGTTTTTGTTTGGTTTTATGAAAACAAAATCTTGAAAAAAAAGTGGTCAGAAATGTTGTATATTATATCTTTAAACTGTAAAAATTGCATTCCATTATAAAGAGCCATCACTGAAATACCTGGTCAGTTGAAGATCAGTGAAAACACTTTGCAGTTACTGTTTATAAATCTTGGCCAGGCACATTGACACGTGTGGTCTAAATATAGCTTCAGTTGACATGGCTAGTGGATAAATGGGTCATACATGTACTATTACAAATCTCAGTGGAAACTGTAGAGGGGTGTCAACAAACCCAGGTCCTGGTAATATACAAAGACCTGAATTAACAAAGAAGTCAAGTTGTTATTAAAGATACATCAAGGTTTACTCAGATTTATGAATGCAGTTTCTTGAGCATGTATGAGACATAGTTTGGTTGCACTTGTGTACTTTGGGCCTGGGTCAATGGAAGTTTTCAGTTATCAGTACAATACTAGATTAAGGGAAATCACTTTATGATGAGTTGTACTCACATAGAGTACATATTAATTTAACTGTTTGCAAATGTTCAATGTATTATTTTAACATGAGTATTTTATAATTAAATAACGAGGACTGTGACATTCATGTCTTATATTTAGTAAAATTGCATTTTTAAAATTGTTAATTGAAGCGGACCATGAAAAAATACAACCAGACCACTGGGCATGTAAGTTTTTAATTTTACCAACCTGACTTGAAAGTTGCCCATCTTGGGCTCGATTTGCAAGTTATGATGGGTAAGTTCTATTCTATTTCCACAATAGATTTATAACAAGATATCCCATAATACATTTCTCTATTACAGGCGAACGTTTATTTCCTCCTCAGTCTGGTTTGACGTACTCAGTATGGCTATGTGTTGATAGATTCAGCTCGCCAATTGCCGATCCACACCCAGTACGATTACTTACGATATTAAGGAACATCGCTGCCAGTGATAACCACTTCATGTCCTTGTCAATCAGTCTCGCTGCTCAAGATAGAACGCTGGTTGTCAGTACGCAGGAAGGAAGATTGCAACCAACAGCCACTAGTAAGTCACACAACAGTTTACAATAGTAGACCACTTCACTGGTTAATCAGTTAAGCCTTTGCTTCATCACTTGGTCAAAAGAGGGCGCTGTGCAATGTGCAATCAATTAAGCCACACTTTTTTTCATGGTGTGCATACTGACCAGAAAAATATTTTTTTTTTGTCCTTACTGTATTTGCCATTGACAATTCTATAATAGAAGAGGAACTGATTTTACCACCAGTCGTACCTCAGTTAAAAGCACTATAGTCGCCGTGTTCAGTATGGGTCCATATGACATGTACAATATATTGTTTCTTAACACAAACTTTGAATTTTTGGTGGATGATGGCTGATGCTTTTAAAGGATATTCTTGGATGTTGGCACTTGGAGATATCTTTCAATTTATACCTACAAAATACCAAGATGTCATCAAATTATCTTTTGTCCTACTCCATGTGTAAGATTATGTTTCATTTTTACAAACATTTTATAAACTTCGAAGACAAAGTTGTCTACAGTACGTCT